CAGTGCTAGTCCAGTCTCCCAATATGATGCTTCCATCTTCCTGTAGAATTTCTTCAATTGTGTCATACACTTTTTCCACTTCATCATCTTCATACTCTGATGTTGGCATGTACACTTGCATAATCAGTACATCTACCGGTTCCGTCTTTAACTTCAGAGCAATAATTCTGTCATTACAAGCAATCTTCTTAACAACACTCCTCACTACACTTTTATGCACCACTATTGCCACACCTCTTTCAGCCCGTTCACCTCCGGAATAATACACTGTATAATCACCGCTTCTTATTTCACCTTGTCCTTTCCACCGCACTTCGCTGACACCTAGCACAGACACTTCATTCTTCTGCATTTCCGTTTTCAAATTCTCCAATTTTCCTGCTTGATTCAAGGTCCTGACATTCCATGTTCCAATCTTGTATCCATGCTGTTTCTTCTGATCTTCGCACTTTTTCTTGTTGTAACGCCTGCATGACATTTCCTCTAGAAACACTCCCCCCCGGAGATCCGATTGGGGGAGTAGTTTACCTCCGGATTGTTTTGCCTCCAGAGGAAACATCTCGCATATATGGTATCTCTGTTTTTGGAAAGAGACTATCCAGGAAAAGTGATAATGTGGTAGTTTTTCCATTTGCTTTCCACATCGCAGTACAGCAGCCGTTCAAACCACTCTGGTCACGCCTGCTGCTATACGAACTTGAACCATCTCGAGCATCATTTGCTCTGTGCTTCAAGTCGCTACTGATGACGCTGCTTCCGGCATCAATCCTTGGTTTTTGATGTCTCTCTTCGTCTGATGCCTACCCTTTGACCTGTCCAGCAAGGGAGGCCCTGCCAGTAGCTACGCTACCGCTGGTATAGCTCTCAGGATCCTTGGCATACTCAAACCCCCTCACCACGATAAGGTGGAGACACCAACGAGGGGCCTCCCTATATATATATATATTGGACAGTCTGGCTTAGTTGTTTCCATTTATGGCAGGAATGAATTTTCTAAGACACATTTCAAGATCCACAATATGTGTCGGAGTTAGTGACCAGGAAACAGATTGACATTCAAGCGCCTGGTGCCGTGTCACCTTCCGTTTGCGCATGAAACAACCTCTGTTTAACCTAGACAGGGCTCTTTTCTAGTGGCACGCAACAGTATGAAATGTAAAAGTAAGTAAAAGAGTAAAGCTATCCCTGTAACAGGCCGTGGAGTCCCAAAGGTGTGTGAGACGTTGAGGGACCCACATTTTCTAGACAATCGGCTTAAAGTTGGCGGCATATGAAATGCCCTTACCTTTTTCATTTAGGGAGCAGGGGTCTAAAATTAGGTTTAAAGTAGCTTCCCAAGTGCTACAACCTGCTTCTTCGATAAACGAGTATAGGTAATTTTGGGTTAATTTTTACTCGGATCTGCCAGCGTCTTCCGGTGAAGACCAGTTTCCATTTAACCTTGTTCCGTCTCACGTAAGGTGTACCGAACGGGCAGTCTGGAGGTAACGCTGAAGAGTGTAGAAGGGCTTTCTCCGGCCGAATATCGGCCGAGACACCGGTTATCAGGTTCATGATTCTCCTCAGTACCTCCAGGCAAATTCCTAGGTCGCGACTATTTCCTTCCATATCCCGTCCACTTCATCCGTAGTTGGACTACTCGACGCTACATACTTGTATAGTATAGCTACTGACGTCGTGGTAGAAGAACCTACGAAAAGTTATTGCTATGTCATATGCACTCTATATTTGTATGCAATCCATACACAGCTTTCTGGTGATCAACATATTTTGCCCGAATCACGAAATCCGTTCTTACCCTTGTTGAGACCAAGCATTCTTAGGAAACGAACAACACTTTTTTTTTAAAATGAAATCTCTTCATATCAACGTTTTGCGTTGATAGATTTCTTTCATTTTTAAGTTTCTCCGGGTGGGGTGAGACTGAGTTCACTTGGAACGTCGGCCGCTAACTGGCCTATTGTACCAAACCCGGATGATACATGATGAGTTTGGAGCAGCCGATGGTATGAGAATTGGCAGGGGAAACTGAAGTACTTGGAGAAAACCTGCCCCAGTTCCACTCTGTCCACCAGAAATCCTGGGCTCGAACCCTGGCCGCCGCTGTGGGAAGCCGGCGACTATCCGCCTGACTTATGGCACGGCCTCCGCTAAATTAGTTACTAACAGGCTTTTCCCAATTTCGCATCCACCGGATAGTCGTTATCACGTTCAACTTCTACGAAAGATCGGTCACCAAATATATTTGAATGAGATTTCTTATGTATCTAAGTGTGATAAATCAGATTGTGTCTTACCGTCACAAGATGTCTAAGTGTGTTTATGAATGTTGTGATATTGGAACCTAGTACTCTTGACACTTAGATTTTCGGATATGATAAAGTTTCCTGATGTCATTCCATAATCATTATTAAGTACTTACTGCTGCTTGCGTGGTTTGAAGAAAAAAAATATTCTACATGTACGGTATACCTACCACTCGGCGCTACAGGCCTGGGTGAGCCTTGGCCTCCTCTACAACCAGTCTCCACTGCTCTCTATTCCTCATCTTCCCTATCCATCCTTTCACCTTCATCTTCTTCGGGTCATTCTCAACATCGTCTGGCCATCTCATCCTGGGTCTTCCTTTTCTTCTTTTGGAATTTAGCCTTCCTTTTAATAATCTCTTTGGCACTGCATTATCTTCCATTCTTTCGACATATCCTAACCATCTTATTCTCTGTCACTCGGTTACTATATCTTCTCCCTTCAGTAATGTGTTTATCTCTTCATTGTATCATATCCTCAATATATTATTTTCCATCACTGGTACGTATATTTTGCGTATTATTTTTCTCTCGGACATTCTCATTGCATTCTCTTCTGTTACTGTTAAGGTCCATGTTTCTGCCGCGTATGTNCCAAATCCCAGAAGACTGCTTTCTTCAGGTTTTATTAATGTTTTGTATACTTGTAGCTTAGCTGGTCTTGATATTATGTTACTAAGATTTGCAAAGTAGGCCCTGTTTCCGGCTTTTATCCTTTCCTTAACACAATTATCATTTTATTGCCATTACTGATCACATTTCCTAAATATTTAAAACTACTTCTGTAAATAATTTCCCTCCTACTTTTAATCTTGTGGTTTCCTTCTACTTTCTAATGTTGGCATTATCATATATTTTATTTTTCTTTACATTTACGTGTTATTCTGCCTTTTTTAACTCTTGATTTCTTTACAGAGACGGGCGTTTGAGAGTTGGCGACGAAATAGTTAACGTGAATGGTCATCTTCTGCGCGGAATGACAACGTTAGGAGAGGCCGAGAGTACGCTGGATAAATGTTTGCCGCCATCACCGTGGAGCCATTTAAACAATTTTCACGTTGACATTGTCATAGCACGAGATGAGCAGAGCGAAAGTTATTCAGAAACAGACGGGCACACCAGTGAAGAGAGGAAGATGTCGGACCACAGTGTTTGGTCATCAAGGTCAACCACTCCGACATTCAGTGGTGATGGAAGCTCAACGCCTCACACAATTGGCAGCACAGAACATATTGCAGCTCTTCAGAACGAGTCTGAGGTGTCGAAATTGTGTTGGTCCAAAAGTGAAGACTTAGGTGAGGGTTTTCATGAACCCGAGCCGCTTGGTACGAGACACTCTATTGACGGTTCATGCTCCCGATCAGTACCACCAAAAACATTATTAGCAGGAAAATTAGATTTCTGGTTAAGAAGCAGAAGGTCCCACGCCAGCGAAACCTCAGTACAAAGAGATCGTTTTTCCTTATACCACAGAGATTCTGAAGACAGCGCCTTTGCTCCCAACTCAGTGAAAAATAAAAACAATAATCACTGTAACGGAGATTCGGCCCGAAATTCCAGTCATCAGATCCGTGACAACTGTGAGGACGACGATGTATTTGTGAAGACTCCAAATATCGACAGCCCTCCAGTCCTTGACGGGAATTCCCAGACACTTGTTAATTCTCATGTGCGTTTTCGATGTAAGACGCCCTCAGACTCGACCATAATACACGATAGCTCGCCAAAGACTCGAAGAAATTTTGCAGTAATAGGTAAAAGCTCCAAAACTTTGGGTACAGGTGGAAGAGAATCTCTTCCAGATACAAATTTTGAAATGATCATCAAAGATCATCGGCATTCCATGGCCATGTCTAGTCCCTGCTCCCCTGTGTCATCCCCGGCAAGTGTCCCTCTCTCGATACGTCACAGCACGGCATCGCTGCCGCATAGTCGCCTTAGTTCTGCCGGTACAAGCCCCGGTACCCCAGCGGGATCGCCTACATCTCGCCCGGGTTTCCTGGCAGCCGTCTGTTCCTCCGCCCCTGTCACGCTGCACGCCGTTGTGTTCGAGAAAGGGGTCGGCAAGAAGTCGCTGGGTTTCAGCATCGTCGGTGGCCGTGACTCTCCTAAAGGCCACATGGGGATATTCGTGAAGACCATCTTTCCCACGGGACAAGCTGCAGAGGCAGGGACCCTCTTCGAAGGTGAGGACCTTAACACTTGCACTTGTATGAATACTGGACCTGTCATAACATTGAAATGCCTCTTCCATTCTTGTTGGGAAGTCATTCCTGCGAAAGAGATTATTTTATTGCTTTTAGCAAAGGTTGATCTTAGTCGCCACATACAGTGAATCCTGTTTAGTCGAAGCTTAAGCCGATGACTTTGCTTGATGTTTGCTTATTTGTGTACCTCACTCGTATTTAGGTTCTGACGATGGAAGAGGTACATTACTCGGAAACGTATGTGCCATTCTGTACGGAGTCACATTCTAGAAGGTACCAAGTACTATTCATAGTCACTGTCGTGAACCACAGATCCCGCATATAAATGGTCGCAAACGATTTTCCTCTCTCGCAGTCGGATTCGGTGGGTACCAGGACCACCTCACGGGCACAAATGTCGACTCAGGCTACAGGGATCTATGCTGTGGAAGAACAGGTTCCTAATATCACAGTGCAACACGAAGAAAGGCAGATATACTTACAGACCTCGACAGGGATTTAAACTAGGGACCACGGACTTTGAAATGCTTTACACGTGTACTGGAACGTGCGTGACCACTGGGTTCGGCACATACCAGCAGATGGGAGTAAAGCCAAGTTTTGGAAGGACGTTTAGGTCAGATGCACTTCAGACAACAGATGTATAGACCTTAGAGAAGTACAGGGTACAGTGTTCAGTGCGGTATGTGGGTTAGTGATTCCTTACATCAACAAGTCGAAGGTTATGTTGCCCGCGTGCCCACACGCCAAGTCTTGGAGGAGTATGAGGGAAGGGAGTTACGGCTCTACTCGGCCAGTGGGCGAGTCTCATGTTGAGGTTGTTACACTCGCGAGCAAGTAATGTTAAAGCGCGATTCAGAGTCTTCACTCCCAAAAAGATTGTACATATTCAGCACAAACAGTTCCGGCCAGAATACTTTACTGCACAAAGCTTCAGTTCAAAATTGTATTCAGTAATTATGCGTTTATAACACAATAAAACTCCATCTAATCCGAGTGTTAGCGCTTTCAACTTCTGTCTAGTTTGTCATGAAACTCAGTTTTCCTGCAGTTAGAAGTCATCCATTCCTTGCAATTGTAATTATTATTATTATCATTAGTAGTAGTTGTAATAGTAGTAGTAGTAGTAGTAGTAGTAGTAATAGTGTTTTTTCTAGATGAAAATATTTAAATATAGATCACTTCTAAATTTGTTGTTTCAGATAAACTCACCGTTTTGCAAATTCGCCTTGCTCGCACTATTAGTATTGGTATTATAAAAAAATATTTATGCGGAATTTGTAGGAATATTTATACCTATGTTCCTACGAACCCCGCGAGTTACACATAATTCAAATGGTCAGACTGAAAGTAACGAAAATATTCCCACTGCCAGAATTTTGCTTGATATAAAAACAAACTCCTTGGATTTAGCCCGCAAAAGAACTATTTTGCTTGGTGTGTTGCAAGAAAATTACCTCAATATAAGTTGTATATTTTTGGAATAGGCCCATTGGCCTTTCCCGATCCAATTTTTATACGATTGGCCTTCTCACCTCTCTTATCATCTTATTCCTTGACGTTTGTTGTCCATTATTTTGCGTGAAATTCGCCCTGATGCCATTTTTTTTTTTGCATATACTAAGATTTTTCTTGGAATTATTTTATTTTCTACATCGCAGTGTAGGATGCTTCAAACCCCCGTGTTCGAAGTTGCTATTATAGTTCCACTCGTGCTTCTGTCACGCTGGTAATACTGTTGAAGGAAATTATCATGTTTCGCGAAAATTGGCCAGCTGGTCCGAGCTTTGAAAGAGGGGAAGGGATGTATACGTCCATATTTTATTGACGTCGGAAGTAGCTCGAGATGAGTGGTCAGCTTCAGGCCTCGGCCTCTTTACCCCCGAGGAAAGAACCCCCGGTACCCATTGTATAGGAAGCTGGGTGATCCCCAGACGAAATGGAGAAGAGAAAATTCTTTCCCCACCGGGACTCGAACTCCGACTCCTCCGTCCTCCAGCCGTAGCCAATCGCTGTACCGACTGAGCTATCCCGACTGCCCAGTTGGATTAGTAGAAGAAGAATATGTCAGCGTAAATTGTAAAGCACAAAAAATTTCTGAAGTGTGTGTGTAGAACATAAACTTTCTTCCTGAGTGCAAACGGATCAGGTGTCGTGTCTCCGACACTTTCAGGTGCGAAAAGTTAAATTTCATGCATTCGGAATTAAATATGTCAGCAGTCTTTGGCTTAGAAGCAACTTCTTACTCCGTTATGTGACGTTTCGTTCCCCACAGTTGTGTTCATGGTATCGCCATGCACCATTAATTTTCGAGGGGAACTATGAGCAAGTGAGTGTCTTGAAGACATTGAACCCTTTCTGCCGACCTAATTGTGTACCGAGTGTCACATTACAGCATGGTCTCCTTTCCACGGAGCACGTAGCTGCGGAGGAGCTGCGTGGATTGTGGCTGGCCACATTACGATATCAGTAGAGTGGCCATATTGTGGTTCCCTGTTAACAGCGCGCGGCGTGTGTGATCTTTGCGAAGGCATCGGACTTTCATTGATATGCGATTCAATTCGGGGAATGCGTGACACAGTTCCGTTCAGAATCTGTTTTCTTCCTGTCTGCTACCTAAAAATGCACAGCTTGATTAAATAATTCCATGGAGATCAGGCGTTCTGGCGCTGCCAGATTTTCTGAGAAGTAGTGGGTCTGGAACGGGGCCCACTCAGCCTCGTGAGGTTACTTGAGGAGCTATTTCAAAAAAATAGCGGCTCCGGTCTAGAATCCCGAGGTTAAAGACCATTGGGATCCGTTGCGCTGACCACACGAGACCCTCTATCCGCTAAAGTTGGCACTAACTTCGCCGACAAGCGACGGTCGCTCGGTCGGTATAGTTCGCTTGCGGACTAAAACCACGGAGTTTTTTTTCTACCTTACTTTCTTCGTGGTTTTGATTCTCGTCTCATCATTTGTGTTTATCTCATTTTTTTAATTCACATATTTGCTGCATAGGTTCGCTATAAGCTAAGGCCTGCAACCTATTACGCCTCTCTCTTAATATGATTTGTTTTCGTTTTAATAACCGAAACATTCTTATCGAGTCGCTTAATTGTTAATTCCACTTATTACGGGATTACTCACTAAAGAAAGCCAGTAAATAGGTCATAAATGGATATAAAACTTAAAACATGTGATATTCGAACCTGAAAAAAATATTTATTTCTCTACATATCTTCCACCGGCATTGATACACTTGTCCCATCGCTTTACCAGTATGTCGAAACCCCCAGCACAGATGAAATTTGGCTGCTGTTTCAGCCACTCCCGCACCTCCATTTCAATATCTTCATCAGCGAAACTTCTGCCACCAGGAAGGTTTTTCAGCGTGCCCGACAGATGGGAGTCATTAGGGACCAAGTCTGGACTCTTAGGCGAATATTAAAGTTCCTGATATTTGTCGTGGGTTACTCGGGTTGTGTGGGATCTGACATTGTCACGATGAAGCAGCACACCATAGTGCAGTTGCCATAATGCCTATTGTTATTCTCCTGTCAGCTCGATCAACTCTTCCACCCTCTGCACAGTTGCGTCTCTCGCAATCACAACAGGGCGACATGGTCGGTCATCATCTGCGACTTTTGAACGTACTTGAGAGAATTTCTCGACCCAGTTGTGAACCGCTTTATGCGACAAACACTTCCCGCCTTAAACAAGAAACGTTATGAATATACTTTGCATTGTGCCTTTTTCCCACAGAAACCGCGCAACAGAACGCTACGCTTCAGCAGTACAATCCTCAAGCACGGTCGCCATTTTCACTAGTGAAACCAGCCACTGTACATGAGCATGCGCGTCTGTTACCTAGACTGTCATGAAGCTGGACCGTGCTGCTACCTAGTGATACAAATAGAAAACCTATTACATCCATTACAGCTGTTTTACTTCAACTTGTGACATTTACTGACTCTCTCCCGTAGTAAGTAATATTTTGCTTCTGTGAATAATACTCAAACATTTCACAGTGTCTGTGTTATCTCACTTTCCACAGAAAGTAATAAGCACAGGACTTGCCTGAAGACTGTCCCCAGCGAGTTACGTTTCCCTCTCTTCACTTAGCCGAACAACAGAAGGGTTTCATTTACAATTTGTCAAGGATCTTGCCACGGGTTATTTATGTGGGTTGTATAGTGACAGTTACACGTAACGGAACTTGTGTGTGTGTGTGTGTGTGTGTGTGTGTGTGGGTGGGTGGGTGCTGGTCATCCAACGGTCACCTGTATCCTACTTCACTCTTTACTACCTGACCACTTCTCGAATATGTCTTCCTCTTGTGTACTGTTTCCATGCACGGTTGTAAGAAACACGTTCTTAAGAGTGTTCAGACTGCATTTCCTTGAATGGAAATCACCCAAGCATCGGATAGAAATGGGAAAGATAAGCCTTAATTCAATAAAAACATCAGTTTCATGTAACTTTTGCGCCAGTAGGCCTGTATAGGCTAAATGCTTTCCTAGCTCACTGTAAGACAACACTGCAAAGTCGTTATAATGATAATTTAGAAATAACAAAAATGAAGTTAAGAAGGTAAAATTATCCCTGTAACAGGCCGTGAAGGTCCAGAAGGTCGTGAGACATTGAGGCCCCCACATTTTTTCTAGGCAGTCGGCTCACAGATGGCGGTAAGATTGTCAGCCTTACCCGCCGGCCGCCTTCTACCCCCCCAGTCTTTTGCAGCCTGCTGTGTCTTCACCAGCCGTTCCTGGTAACGGCTTCTAACAGTGGAGATTCTTCAGCTACCGCGCTCAAGTCCCCTCTGAATGGCGGCTCCCTTCCAACTGACTCTTTCCTTCACAGCCTCCAGTACAGAACTGACTTGGTCGCCCGGTTGTCTTTCTTATAACTCCTCGGCACGACTCGCTCAGGAAACACCGTTCTTTCTTGTATCCGTTACCGCGGGAATTTGTTTACCGAGCCGTTCCCTAGTAACGGCC